AGACTGGCCTGAATAAGCTTGTCCTCCGTCAGGTAGACTTCGCATTTGAGCCCTTGCCGGGCCCAGTCCTGGAGGCCCTTCACAGTATCTTCGTCTAAAGTGACACCGGGGTCTGGAGCAGCCAAACCCCACTCAGTAGGAAACGGCCACCCCATAGCACTTCGAACCACGAAGTAGTCCCGCTTGCATGCCGGGACCTTATTTGGGAGATTGTGTAACAGCTTGAAGCTCGGGCGAGGTGACAAGTAGTACGCCCGGGCAGAGGACCCGCTTGTTTCTTAAGCATGAGAGTAGCAGAAAAAATTTCCAAGTCCAAAGGAAGGCAGTGTTCACAACAAAGGGAGATGGTCCCGACAAGGTTGCGGATAGAGTTCGGGTGAAGCTCACCTATAGTGACGCCGAAGTGGTTCATGACCTCGACGATTAAGGGATGGAAGGGAAAGCGCAGCCCGGCAACAAGCTGCTCCCAGAATATCACGATCTCATCCGGACCGTGCTCCCAAGGAAAGTCGCCCGAGGGTACAAAGTAAGTATACTCCCCGGGCAGGTTATACTGGACGATAAGGGACCAAAGCCTTCCGGACGTCATAGTGGAGGGTCCGAACTTGTCTGGTACCCGACCTCGGCGGGAGGTGGATGCCAAACTATCCTAGGTGACTCGGCCTACGGGCTCGAACTCGAGCTCTTCCTCGAGCTCTACATCGGGCCCCGCCTCGGACTCACTAAGACTGTCAGGGGCAGCTACTCGGTTCGTAGAACCAGCATCGGACCCCTAGGAGACTACGTAAGCTACCCGAACTAGACATCGAAACAAAGGGCTGAGGACTCACCAAGAAAAAGCTATCGGACTATGAACAAGCGACACAAGCTGACGGGCTTGGATGCGAGTTCAAGGAACAAATGTTGAAAGATGACGGAGGAAAGTGATAGGGGGCCCCCACTATTAATAGCCACTATACCCGCACATCAACGGCCAAGATCGAAACTATCCAACGGCTCCCCGTGAAATCAGTTGCGCACTCCCCAAGGAAAAGACACTTTGGTGCGCGTTGTTTACGTTCAAAAATTTGAAATCGTTTACGTGCGCGAGCTACACGCAGCCCGGGACTGACCCCTGGTCGAACCAAGCCAACCCCGGTTGAGCCAAGAACACAAGCGGGTTAGACCAGAGAAGTCCCAGACTAAGGCCAAAGTGTCCCGAGGCAAATCCACCTGTCATCCCGTGAACTCCCCATGCCGGGTCAAGACCCCGAGCATGGGGAGTGGGGGGCAATTGATGGAGGAAGATTTGACCCGACCCCTTGGACCTACGACACGTGGAAGCAACCAAGAGTGACCTGGCAGAAGCGCCAGCTCGGCATGACAGCGGGCTCCGAGCAAAAAGTCCCGAACTCCCCCACAGGGGAAACCTACAACTCGAGCTCCGAGCTGAAGAGTCCCGAGCTCCCCAAGGAGGAACCCGAGCTCTCCCCTCGAGGTCCTGAGCCTAAAAGCACAAAAGGCAAAGACCCGAACTGCCCCTAGAGGTAGTTCAGGCCACACTTCTACTCGAGCTCAAGACTTCACCTCACACACCACTTCGGCTCCAAGTATCCTGACTGAACAACCGTACCTGACGACCGGGAGACCCGTACACGGAGGCGGCGCACCTGAACTAATTAAAGGTCCGACACATGACAGCCGCCATCCAACGGCCACCTGCCACCACCATCTCAGACGGGCAGAGGTAGCCCTGGCAGCTGGCAGTGGAGGTTATGACACCCGAACTGGTGATTGGCAGAGGAAATGACACCCGACCTGGCAGAGGAGGTGACCCGATCTAGCAGAGGTAATGATGCCCGAACTGGCAGGGGCATGGCAGGGRAATGAGAGCAAGTGTATAGGGTGATTATAAAAGGCCCCCATCTCACGAAGAAGAGGGTATGTGATTCTTGCGTTTTCTGGTCTTAGAATTCCTCATTTTCCCTTGCCTTCTGGAAGAGCACTAACTTGAGCTTCGGAGTGTTCCAACCGGGTTCCTCCTAGGAAGTCTCCATTTTCTTCCTTGTTTCAGGCACCTCCGATCTCGTCAGAAGCGAGGTAACCGGCAGTTAGGACCGACCAGATTGCGCACCATCAGACATCAATCCCCATCCCCGACCCCGACCCCGACCTCGATCGAGGATTCCTATTAATCCCCATCCCCATCCTCGCTCCACTAAAACAATCCTCATCCCTGACCCCATCGGGTTGGAGAAGTCGAGTCCCCGTTGAGGATGGAGAAAATTGCCATCCTTAACTGTCACGCCCATTATTTTTAATGACAAAAATGCCCCTCTCTTATTATTTCTTTATTATCAATTAGAAAATTAACCAAAATCTACTTGTTGTTTGTGACAGATCCCTTGAGCCATTCCACTGAACATGTTCATTTTAACCGTTTATGACTGTATTGTTTTTTATAAAATGTTAAAAGACAAAATTAGATATTACTTCTAATTCAAGAATAAAATTTGAGAGATATTCATTTTACTATATATTTCATTAATAATAAGTGGTTGCAATTTTAAATGTCAAGGGGGTGTAGCTCATATGGTAGAGCGCTCGCTTCGCATGCGAGAGGCACGGGGTTCGATTCCCCGCACCTCCATCTTTATTGAATCAAATTTTAACACTAAAAATATGTAATTTACGATTTTAATCTCTTCGCATGCGAGATGCTCCCACAGGGATGTGCTCAACTCGGACAGTATCTTGGACTTTTAATTTCAATACATAATATCGTGAATTCTAAAAAAATAGGTCCATTTATATAGGGTTTGACTATGATATGAAAAGGATAAGTCAAAAATACTTTTGCGGAGATGCCAACTTGGACAGGTATCTTGGAATTTTAATTTCAATACTCATATCGTGAATTCTAAAAAAGGTCCATTTATATAGGGTTTGACTATGATATGAAAAGGACAAGTCAAAAATACTTTTTTCATGTATTTTTAGAACATTTTATGGAATAAAATCATCATTAGAGATTATAATCATTGGAATATTTGAATATTTTATTGGGATAATAGCATATAAGGGCAACTTTTGGGCTTTAATATTAATAAAAGTAATATTATTAAAAAATTTTAAAAATAAATTAATTTTTTAAAAATAATATCAATTAAGGGCAAAATCACTATTTATCAGTATTGTCGTCGCTCGCCATCGCCACTTCCGGTAGCACTTCCGCCTATCTCCGCCCACTTCCACCTCCGCCAACATTGTCGGAGGTGGGCGGAGGTAGAGGCGGCGGTGACAGAAGAGAATATGGTTTTTTATTACAGGTACACCGACCCATTGACCTATGGCGACTATCCAGACAACATGCGAGTTCTTGTGGGAAATTGGTTGCCAAAATTCTCACAAGACCAGTCCATTGCAGTGAAGGGATTGTTCGATTTCCTATAATTAAATTACTATTCTACTGCTTATGCAGCCAACGCTTCCACCTCCAACTATGTTTTCGCAATCTACCTTACAGATTCTCGAGTGATTTTGACATCGCAACGGAACGGTGTCCCCATTCAACAACTAATCGATCAATCAACTAATTATATTAAATAAATGGATTAATTAACAGTTTATGACTTATATGTTTGATAAATTTACAGTCTGGTTCGGATTGGCTTTATGTATACCCAAGAGGAATTCGAGACATGTTGCTCTATGTAAAGGCACGATACAATGACCCAACCATTTATATTATGAGCTAATCAATCACGTACAGTTGATCTATTTTTTTTTTCTGTAGTTAATTTTCCCATATATCTTGAAATGTTGATGGTCACAAGTGGAGAAGGTGCTGATATATATTATTTTCTTCAATTGATTTGTTTGTTACGAGTTTCAGAGGTAAACAACGGTACATTGACGTTGGAGGAAGCCCTGAGAGATACTTCAGAATAGATTATCATCGCCGTCATTTTTATTTCCTTCAAAGAGCCATCCAGTGAATTGGGATAATGTTCTTTTGTTCTTTTATGCGTGTTTTTTTTTCCCCTTCCATTTCATCCTTGCATTGAAATTGAAACTACAACAGATACTGGCAAAACATTAATGTAAAAGACTTAAGTGAATGAATGTTGTTTTTTTTTTTAATGCAGGGAGGGTGTGAAGGTGAAGGGATACTTTGCATGGTCGCTTTTGGACAACTTCCACTGCCGCCATTTCTGTCTCTGCAACCGTCGGAGGTGGAGGCAGAGGCATTGCCAGGGGCGGCGGCACTGGTGAACAGATTGTAAGAAGAAGAAGATAAACAGTGATTTTGTCTTTAATTGATATTATTTTTAAAAAGTTAGTTTATTTTTTATTTTTTTTAAATATTACTTTTATCGATATTAGGGCCCAAAAATTGCCCTTATATGCCATTATCCCTATGTTATTTGCTGTTCATGTAAGAATATTATCATGGGGAAATGTTTGGTTACTTGAGAATGATCTAAAAAATACATAAGAGGAATATTTTTAACATTATGTAATGTTTAACTAATGGAATACTAACAATGGACTCACATGTCTATTTTTGAGAGCAAAGTTTTTAAAATTGGACCAAATAGGAAAACGTTATGGGGACCAATCCAGGAATCAAACAGTTTGACCATCCAATTTGAATGGATAATCCATTATAATTTAAAAAAATATAAATAAATAATTAATAACCAAAAATAGTTGTTCAGATTAACGGTTCAACCACCTGAATCAGGTGTTCATTGACAAACCAAATCAATGTTTTTTTTGACCAAAAAGATGAAACGGAACTGGTCAGGTGACCGATTACTCAACCATTGCAAATTGAAAGTTTAGGATATCTATCCGTCTAATAAGGTGTAGGGTGGTTAATAAGGGCAAATCTGTAATTGAGTACGAAAACAGGGTGTTGAAGGTACGCCCCTCTCCAATCTCAAACACCAAAAAAAAAAAAAAGGAAAATAATGGATCGTCGTGGGCCTCGTGGCCCCACTCCATTTTAATTTTGCTTTGCGCATTCAAAAACACAAATAAGCTCTGCGAGATCCACTCTTCTGTCAGATTCCCCCTCCCACTCACTCTCTCTCTCTCTCTCTCCGTAGAATTTCTTTATGCTTTTCATTTGTTCTAACGGGTAGTGTCCATTTCTGCCTGTGTTGTAAAGCAATCATACAGCTGCTACAAAGGTATCTAATTTTCTTTCCTCTTTTTAATCCTCTTTCTTTTCAATCTTTTTCGTTTCATAGACTTACAATGTCTCTGTACATTCTCCGCAAGCATCAGAATCCGATCTTTCAGTGTCATTCATGGTTGTTGTTATTTTGTTTTTGATTTTGAAAGTCTTGTGATCACTGGGACGTCTATTTTGAGGTTGCTTAGTAGGGTTTTGATTTTGTTACCTTCTGCTGTAGTATTTAGTTGACATTTTTCCATTGATGCTTGTTAACGGAAACAATTTTGGATTATTCGTTCAGTACTTAGGCTTGTCGATTTCGTGTTTTTCAGCTAATTGAATTCCGACTAACAAACTTTACCAGTGAAACTTCATTTGTTATCTATCCCATTTTTTTCATTTTATTATACCGTCAATTTCTTATAACTTGCTAGAACTTTTAGGAAGCAGCCACGCTTACAAGTAATAATACTATTATTATTGTTATTATTATTTATTACTATAATGTTTTTCTTGTCGTCTCGTTAGTTTGCCACCCACCTTTAACTTTTTGCTTGGTTTTTTGCTTTAACATGATGTAAAAGAGATGACTTCAATAAATGCTGCAGTTGGTTCAGCAGTTCTGTTAATCTGCACATTTCGTGTGGGTTGGTTGGTTAGTTGTTTTCTGGTCATAGAAAAAGCCATAAATAGTAGTTGGATCTCACTATGATTTCTGTGCATTTACAATACTTGAAGATGGTATCCAACTGGTTAAGCAGCTTTTTSCCTTGGGGAATTGTTCAACAAAGTTGTACGGTTTTTTACAATACTTGGTCTACATTTATTGAATTTTCTTTGATACACTGAAGATAAGTCCATCACTTGGTTGCTTGGTCATCATTTGTCATTCACTAATGCTTATTACTTAGGGAAGCACTAATATGTTTATTCCTTCTGTTATTTGTAGAAATTAAATTGATATGCAGTGAGGTATAGTTCCATTTCCTGAACATGGATAATATATCCCAGGACTGCCCATATCCAGGATGCTTCTTCTGTGTTATGAAGGAAGCTAATCCAAGTAAACGTAGAACAAGTATACTAAAGTTCTTCAGGGAACTACCTTCTCAAGACGATGATGGTCAGGTTCTTCCAATCAGTGGCCTTTGGAACACTGCAATGGCACATCCCAATGATCCTGAGTTCATTGACTTGGGAATATTTGAATGCATGGCTGCACTTATATGGAAGGGTTTAAAGAACCGCCGCTGGCTCTCTCATGACCAGAATATATACATTCCTTATTATGCAGCACATATCATTGGATCTTATACCATGAATATGGACGAATTTGCAGAAAGTGCAGTGCATGCTGGAGTAATTCCTCCCTTGGTTGAACTCTTAAGGGGGAGGTTAACCTGGGTGGAACAGCGAGTTGCAGTCCGAGCTCTAGGACACCTGGCTACATATCCCAGTACTTTCCCTGCAGTGGCAAGTCATGGGGAAGTTCTTGAGCTTTCCATTCAACTGGCAATGGGTTCATTGGAAATTGTTTACTTGCATTTTTACCAGTATGCTGATAGAAGGCTTAGTTATCACTCTGATTTGCTTACACGTGGCATGGGTGGTGTAGAAATGGAGTCCAGGAAGGCAGAGGAATGGGCCAGCCAGTTACAGTGTTGGTCTCTTCAGCTTATTAATTGCTTTGCTTTCAAGCCTGAATTTCTCTCTGTTATATGCAAGCCTGAATTCTTAATGAAGTTACCAGGATTGTGGGGTGGACTTGTGAATGAAAACTCACCAGCAGGCATTGGTTTATTAAGAACAATTTGTCATCATAAACTTGGTAGGGGGCCTGTTGCAAGCTGTCCCGGAGTTATCGAAGCACTCTGTAATATTGCCCGCTCATCTGATGACTGGCAGTACATGGCTATTGACTGTCTTCTTTGGTTGGTTCAGGATCCAAGTATTTGTCACAAGGTGCAATTCCTTTATCCATGCCTTTTATATGTTTCAAGTGCTTTACTTGGGGACCTAGCTTGAAAAGTAATGAGTTATAATTACTCTATTTATGGAAGATGATGCATTATTTTCTCTATATATGGTACTTTCTTTTCAATTTTCATGTATAGTTGTTTAAATATGTCAGGTTTAGTTCCAATAGCCCGCCCTATCCATAGTTTCCAGATTAACCACAACACAGACCTTTGGATTCCAGATTGATCCACTAAACTGATGCCAAATTCACTCTGATTTAATTTAACCATTACACCAAGCAATGGACCCTGTTTTCCGAATTCACTGATTATATTTACAGATTTGCTGAATCAGTTTTTCTGAGATCTATTCCCATTACAAATATTTATTCACAAAACTATAAAAAGTTAACCAAGAGTGCAATAAGTGTATGTATATCTAGAGCTCTCTTGTTGTTCTTGCCTTTATATGGTTTGACAATTGTATCCTTATTATTTCTATTCTCAAAATCTTTATTATTGATCCAGAAAACTGCAATAAGTATTCTTCTGTCCTTTAATCTGGTTTTCTGCGTTATAGCCATAAAAAATTCCTATTCTATAAATGATTATACACTATCTGTCATTGAGTCCCTTTTAGTGGGATTTTGCTGATGTTCCAACTATAAAGCCTGCTATATTCTCTCTATGATACATATGTGCACACAAATTAACAAAGAAAAGCCATATTCAATTAAGAGTTCTCTGCACAAGTCTAAATAGAACACTGCTCCTGATAATCTTACCTGCCAACAGGTCACAATAAAAATTTCAAAGAAAAAGTACTAATAAGAAAAGCAAAGCAGAGGACAACAAGAACCAAAATCATTTTTTTTAACTTATCCTACCTGCCAATAAATGTACTGGGTACCTTGGACCATAAAAGGGCAACCCAGTGCACGAAGCTCCCACCAATGCGGGGTCTGGGGGGGACAGATGTATGCAGCCTTATCCCTGTACATACAGAGAGGCTGTTTTCAAGATTTGAACCCTGGTCAAAGTCACAATGGAGCAACCCAACCGTTGTGCCAAGGCCCACCCTCACCTTGGACTATTCTATTCAATATTTAATGCAATGCATTTTTGTTCTACAGGTAATTGACAAGGCAGTTCCTGCACTTACAGACCTTGCAGAGATTTCAACTCTGGGTGATCACAAGAAGCTCGGGGATTCTATTGTTAATGTTCTTCAAGATTGTGTCCAATCACAAGGAACAGGGCGTAACTCTCTCAGTAGTCGTACAAAAGAATTGATTGATGAAGTGATAGATTCCACGCAGAGATTTAAGTGGGAGAAGAGTCTGCCAAAGGAAGATCTTCATATCAAACAAGCAGCAGCACTAGTTGTCAAGCTGGAAGGCAATTCTCTGTTTTCTTCTGGAAATATATCTGGAGCTGCATCAAAGTACTCTGAAGCACTGTCATTATGTCCAATGAGGTCCAAAAAGGAGAGAGTTGTGTTATATAGTAATCGAGCTCAGTGTCATCTACTATTGCAACAACCCTTGGCAGCAATTAGTGATGCTACACGTGCATTATGTCTTCATAACCCTCCTAATCGTCATGCTAAAAGCTTGTGGAGGAGAGCTCAAGCATATGATATGCTTGGCTTAGCAAAAGAGAGTTTATTAGATGCCATTCTGTTCATAAATGAGTGTTCTCCGTCAAATGACCCTGATCTTTCCATGAGGCAAAACAGGGTTCCTGACTATGCTGAACGCTTAGTGAAGAAGCAAATGCGTGCTGCTTGGTTATTTAGAGAAGCTGCTATTAAACATGGGGGTATTCATTCTGAGGGTGATTTAGGTGACATCTATGCCCAAGATGCTGATGATTCTGAGTGGGAGACAGCTAGTGAAAGTGACATAGGAAATGATGGAAGGGGAGAAATGGGCGATAATGACAGTGAATGGAAAAATGAGGATGAAATGAAAGATAATTATGAGAAGCCTTCAATAAAAGGTACCGTTGTTCCAAACATTTCAACTTTTATGCAAGTATCAGCAATTATTTTATGGTGATTTTTATCAATAAATTCTAGGAACATGGTCCCCAACAAACTGGATCCACCATCAGTCTATTCATATTTAGATCAGTTAGGTCAACAATCAACAGAACCAGATTCTTGACCTAGCTGATAAAATTATTTTGATCAGTAGTTATGATGAATTTTTAGATAGGCATGTTGCAGTCTATTGATCTGTTGAGTTTTAATCTAGTAATTCTTCATGTGGATTTTATATATTGTCTCATTTCCTGGTTTTTCTGTTTTAAACTGAGCAATAACCATTGATGTTGATTGAAAATTTTCTACTTGTAATACATAAAGTTTGGATGTTCTCTCACTTGTTAATTCCATTATTATCCTAACTCTGCATGACTGCACATGAAGAATTTGCATTTCTTAAGACTCTTCTCCTATTCATAATATTTTATCTTTTTTTTTTGGCAGGGATTGATTATCATATTTTAGGCAACAGGCATGAATCAAACATGATTTTTTTTTCCATATTCAACATAGTTTCTCAAGTTTGATACATCTCAAATATTGAAATAAAAATGGTGCCTCAAGTTGGTTACCGAGTTGATATCAACTCTGTTATTTTCTTAACCAGGATTAGATAATATCTGCAAAGTGAGGAAAATTTGACATTAGGTACATGTCTTTTCTTAATCTGCACATCAGTCCTTTACTCCAAAAGAAAAAAAAAAATATTATAGAAATGCTAAACTGCTTACAGTTGCATTAAGTGTGTCAGAGACCAAAATTGAAGGTTCAAGATACCTACTTCCATTGTGATAAAATGAAGAAAGTGCAATTTGAATCTTGAGTAACAAGTTGATGCTAAAAACACATCTTTTTAAGTCGAGAAGGATATCAATCATAAACTACTCATAAAAAAATGGTATCAATCATATAACTATTAAACTTCTGTATGATATAGCCTGATAACCAATAAATGGGATATGATGCACTCCCTATTGAGGAGAAATTCTCTTTATGGATTACTGTAATATGAGTTGATATAGTACAAGGTGTTCATGATGTTCCAAGACCGAAAGACTAATTGACTGCAGTGTGGATGACCTTAATTAATAGTTAATACCAGGACTAAAGGCCTCATAAAGATGCACCATAATGTGTAATTGTTTATCACATATTTGTTTTAATTTTGGTGCTCACAAGCTTCGCACATTATGTGCTTCACTTTAACAATTCAATTGCCATATGTTTATAAACTTTAATACATCAATATTTCTTTTATGTTATCATGCATGGTTATTGCCCATTCACCCGAACCTTTTGTTGAACACTTTTGAAACAGAGATAAAGCATGGATACAATGTGCAACTTGCTGAGGATGAAACTTGATTTTACATGACTTAGGGAACCTGCAAAGCTGTAAACATATATTGATAATACTGTGAAGAAATGTTGAAGCAGACCAACTTGGATTGATTGAGCCCATTGCATTTTTCAAGTTACAAGTTCCAACGTTGAAGGTAATTTAATTGGTCCTTTAAGGAGAGTTTAAGATTGGTCCGTGTTCTGATATTAAACCTGTCCCATATGTATCTTGTATTTCTTTTCTTTTCCACTTTATCTCGTTTTTTGGTAGTCAACTGCAAAGATGAGGGGTGAAACAGAGGCAGCAGATAAAGTTGATTATTTGTAGAGTGATAGAGAGGCTTGTGTACATAAAAAAAAACCTTTCATCGTTTTTATGTCTGAGAAGATAAATATGCGTTTTCATTGTTTTACTTTTTGTGTTCATCAACTTGTTATGCAACTGAAACTTTTCTTTCAGGCTCCGTTTGGTTTGTGGGATGGGGACGAGAAAAATGAAATATTCCAAAAATATTCTCTTTTCTCTTATTTGTTTTGAGTGAAATAGGGGATGGGATGAGAAAAACGATGCGGGACCCCAAAATCGTATAATCGGGATTGCACCAAAACAGTGCGACCCCGGTGAAAATACTTGAGAAAATATTTTGGGCCTTCTTCTTCAACCTCTCGAGAAAACTCGAGAGACTTTTCTTCTTCAACCTCAACCTATCCCAACGGTCAGATCTCTGACGATTTTTCTGGCCATTTCGTTCAAAGTTAAACCGGATCCATGGCTCAGGAGAGTTTCAAAATAACTGTAGTTTTGAAATGGTTCAGCGAGATGAGGGCTTTGGAGCTAGCTTGCTTGGTGGTATCCCTTGTTGCAGAAAACCAGTGAAAAATTAAGCAGAGGTTCATCTCATAGTCATAGGTCCGAATGTAACAACCATGGCTTATCTATTGATGGATGGGAAGAGAGGGAACTTATCAGCCGAGACGGTCTGGCAAAGCTCAAAGCCAGTGTCCTCTTTGCTTCCATCGACCAATGAAGTGATAAAGGCTTCCGGAGAGAGTGCCTGCACTGCCGTTGTTGCAGTCATTGTAGATTGGCTTCTGTCAAACAGAGGTGCCCTTCCAACAAAGGATGATTTCGACACTTTGATAACAGAAGTGTATGGTTTTAACGGGGGTGGTGGCAGAGGCGGAAACGATGGAGGCAGCAATGGCGGAAGAAGGTTCGGTGAAGGCAGAGAAATGATGGTGATGACCATGATGAAGTCTGGTCTTCAAGCAGAATTTCACAGTGGTGGATGCAACAAGCGGAGATTCGCTTCCTCTCATCATCACTGCGACGCCTGTGAGACGGAAAAAATGGGAACGCAGGCGTGGTTGGGTACTTTTTTTTCTACTGTTTTTCCATATAAAACGAAACAATAGAAAATTAAATTTTTATATCATCCCATCCCATCCCATCTTTTTCCATCCCACCCAAATCTTCCTRAAAACTAAAGAGCCTCATTTCTTTTGGGGAGCATTAGGTATGGTATATTGTAGATTTGTGGCCCATTTTGGTGGTTGGTAATTGGTGTATACTGTAAAATGGTTGATAAAATGAAGGGATTATAGCTGATAAAATGAATTGAGCGGGTTCACAGCCCAAAACAATGAACCGGTGTGTTTACGTATTCCCAATTTGGGGTGTCCATGAAGAACCGAAAAAACCAAATCAAGAAAACCGAACCGCAAAATGTAGTTAATCGAATCAATCGGTTCAGTTTTAGTTCGGAATTTTTGAAAAACTGAAGGACCGGTTTAGTTTTTGGTTAACCTACAAAAAACCGACGGTTAACCGAACTGATTGGTATGTATGCATATTTTATATATATTTTAATATATGTCACATATTTTCTATGTATTATATATAAATATATATTTATATTATATTTATAACGATCTATTTATAAATATATTGTATATATTATATATTTTTAAAATATTTATAATAAATTATATATCATTTATTATTTATAATATAATATTATACATATATTTATATAATATATATTATAAATATAAAAAATCGAAAAACCGAACTGGTCAAAAACCAAAACCGATGGATTGGTTAACCGGTGGTACCAGTTCGGTTTTGGTTTGGCAAAATAGAAAAACCAATACCACCGGTTCGGTTTAAAAAAAAGGGCTGAACCATGGACACCCCTATACCCAAGCATGAACACAAGCATGTATTAATTAAGCTATGCTATGTAACCAATCAGGAGTAGGGGTGAGCAAACAAACAAAAAAACTGAACCTATTAAAACCGAACTRAAAAATTAGTTAACCGATATAGCCACACACACCAGTTTTGGTTTGGCGTTTTAAAAAAACCAAAGGTACCGGTTTGGTTTCGGTTAACCAATATAGAAAACTGGTGGTTAATCGAACTAACCGGTATACATATATTTCTATATATTATATATTTATATATTTATGTATATTATATTTTTTATATATTATAAATTAATAAATATACATTATATATATAAATATATTTATAATATATGATATATGATATATTATTTATTATTTAAAATATAATATTTTACATATTTATAAATTTTCATTATATATTCATATATATATTATAAAATTTAAAAAACCAATGAACCAAACTGGTCAACTGGTTAACTGATTAGCTTTGATTTGATTTTGATTACCGGTTTTTCAAAAACCGATAATACCAGTTCGGTTATTAAAAAAGGCAACCGAACCGTGAGCACCCCTCCCTAATCAGGAGTGAACTGTGAACGCACCAGTTTTGTGGATAGGTGGGACCTATACCATATGTGGATCCCACATGCATGGAACACTGACGTGTTCACTAGTGATTGATTATGTGGCTAGGTTCACATGCCAGTGTTCACAGCAGCTTCTGACTGGTATGAAATGAATACAAAGCCCGTTACACATATATAGCCTTTCAAATTTTTAGTATTTAGGATTTTAATTAGCAGACGGGGACAGCGGACTCTACCTACAATACATAATCCCTCAATACCAGTTGGGGAGCACAACGAAACAGTGGTTGGCGCACGTCGAAAGAAAAAGGGAGTCCCTTTAGCTCTAAGACGCCAACAGAGTCTCCTTTTAAGGTTATCCTGAAATCCTTTCGTAGGATTTCTGAACCAAGCTGTTTCATGTATCTGTTAATTGGCAACCAGTATCTCTCATCAACTAATTTTCAAAGAGATATAACTTTACAACTCATCTAACAGCAAGACTGAAACTAGGGGTGTATATATATGATCCATTAGGAGAGGATTTTTTTTTTATTGTGTTATAGTAATTTAATCAAAAAGCAACCCAGAGCTCTGATATTGCTTGGGCTTTATGACAATAAAAAAAAAAAAACAGGCCAAGTTGTTGGTTGCATGGACAGCAGTGGAGAGACTGAATTGTGGTTAACACGTAGGTATAAGAAAAAAACAAAGAAAGATGTCTCAACCTCAGTATCTCACCTTATTAGTCGATCCTCCTCATTTCTAATTCAGATAATCTCTATCACTAATTCCAGATTCTATACATATGGCCCAAACGCGGAAAGGATCCTCGTTGGATCTTGAGACTGTCATCTTATTACATAAACATATGCACGCGTTTGATAGACTAGTCATCTGGCAATCAGATTCAGATTTAGACGACACCCATCTGCTACCTATCTCCAATCTTTTCTCTTCCACCCCACAAAATAAAACTAAAAAAAGCTTCACTACTTGGCTCCAGGGGCCAGCAGAGTCCCTTTGTGACTTTGTCAAGTGGCCAAAAAGAGAAATTAAAGCAAAAGGAAATCTTTTAAAACTGAAGAACGTAGTTAAACTAAACGTCTGATGTCTAGTCATTACTGGAGTCTTCAGAGTTAAGAAGACTTCAATATGGACATAGCTGACGAAAACCAGGTGATAAACTTGTTGAATGTTTATCCAAAATATTCCTTCTCTCATAAACTATATATGTTCATTAGTCACGCCCACCTGGTTAGATGAATTAAAGTGGGAGATCATATCTGGCCTACTGATATCGATGAGATCATATCTCTTCCGGAGATATCAGTTAATCCCTTTTCATGTGGCCAATTCAAATTCCAAACCGTCCATCCATTAGATAGGAGTAGGACTGTCATTGGCCGGTCCATATGTCATCCAATGAATACTTTGGATCATTCTAGACTGATTCAATTGAATGCTTGGACCATCCAAACTGTTTAAATTGGTTTGAATTTAGATTAGGTTCAATCCAAACCTGTTCCATTGACACCCATACCCTTATCTTATGTCAATGAATTGGACATTGGTTCAATCTGACCTAATCTAATATAAATTTATTAAAAATGGACTAGGTCCAATCTAATCCGATAAATACTTTGGGCCATTAAATCTGGACCGGTCGAAATCAATGTCTGTCCAATCTGTTTATATTGAATCGGATGGATCCAACCCAAACCTGATTCATTGACACCCCTAGATAGGAAATCATTGGATGGTCAATACGAGAATGAAACTAAGGGTGATCAAATAACTTATTTGGTTAAAATCAAATCGAATAAATCAAAAATTTTAAATAAAAAAATCAAACCAAAATCGAAATATTGAAAAATCAAAATTTTTTGTTCAATTTTTGATTGTTTTGGTTAAAACCGAATTTCAATGCTATATATATTTTAATATATATTATACAATATATATAATAAATTATATATTTTAATACATAATATAATGCGAAATTTTCGATTTTAACCAAATAATGCTCACCTCTAACTAACTGAAACCCTGTTGGATCGCCACCCAATCCGCCATTGCTGGAGGACTCATCCAACAAACCATCTCCATTGTCACATGGCCCCAAGTGTTGAGTAAAACCAACCGAAGCCTGATTAACCAAATCTGGGCCCAAAATGATCGAGTGATATTTCCATGTTAGGATGTGGAGTTTCTGGTCCGATTTAATCCGGGTCGATTTGGGATTACAATCATTTTTCCTAATCGATCGGATTTTGCCCAACCCGATTCACAGGGGTTGTTACTGTATATATTTGTCCTTTGGTGAACCCCTAGGGCTTATTTTAAGTCTCAACGAATCTACAGATTCGATGTCACCAGTCACCACATAAATCGCTTTATGCTCGTTGATGAATACCGCATCCAAGTGTATCCAAAAAAAAAAAAAAAGATTTGGGTTTGCTCCATTTTCTCCAAATTTTTTTCATACCGTGGACGCCGCATAGCGGTTTCCTCCAAAGCAAAAGCAACTGCCTTTCTCTCACCTGTATATAACACCACACACCATGACCTCCCTTCACCACCACCAATTCATCAACCCTCTCTTTCTCTCTGCTCCCATGGGTGCCCCTCAAAATCTTCCTTACCTTAACTGTGAACTGAGAATCATAAGAGCTAAGAACCTGGAATTCATACCGGCTGGAAACCTGTTTATGAGGTATTATCTCTCTGCGAGAAACAACGAGAGAGTTCGGCTCAACAGTCAAGAAATCCCATCAACGGCTAGCCCGTGTTGGAACGAGTCAATATCGTTGGAGTGTTTCGGATCGCAAGACTGTGTGGAGGAACTCAAGCAACAAACCGTGGTGTTTGAGCTCAGATGGAGAAGCACAGCACCGATTCTGGGGAGGATCGGCGGGTCTAAGCTACTGGGCAAAGCAGAAGTAGCGTGGAAAGACGTTTTCGAGTCACCCGAGTTGGCAATCGAGAAATGGGTTACTACAATTCCTGAGAGCAGAAGAAGAAGAAGCCTTCTCCAAGGCCTCAAGCCACCTGCACTGCAGATAGGAATGAAGGTTCGAATACCAGAAGCGAAGGAGATGGTGAAACGGAAGATGGACGCAAGGTCGACGAGGTGGAGCGAGTGCGGCTGCAAGCACGGTGGCTGCAATGGTGGAGATGACGACATTTTTGCACTCGCGGCAGCCTTGGAGGCGTTGTAGAAATTTTATTTAAAAAACAATTCGAAGAAGAGATGCATAGTTATGTGGTCCTGTTGGGCTTCGTGGGCCAATTTGTATGTAATTTTGGGCAATATTGGATTGGATTTCTATTTCTTCTTTACCTTTTAAAACCCAAGCACTTCTATGTTTTTGGAATAACTTCTCAAAAAGAAGAGTTGTAAGATCAAAAGCAATTCGTAATTTTGGGCCTGTTGGGCTTTTTCTACTTTTATATCCTCTGCCACACAGATTGCTTATTGGTTGGTGCAGAGGATGTGAGTTTTCAGAAAATGTTCAGTTTGGAAAGGGTACAAATATAAATATGTACGGTATAAATATATATAAAATATAAGGTTTTATACTTTATATATTTGTATTTGTATTCTTTCGAAACTGAGCCGAATACAAATATAAATATGTAGAGCGCAAAATCTTATATTTTATATGTATTTGTATTCCTTCCAAATTAAGCCTAATGGATTTGAGTTGATCGATGATCAAGTGGAGTATCATCACGTCTTTTAGAGAAGCTAACAAAGCTGCGGACTGGGGATGTACTACCCCCGTTATGTGTCTGAGTGTCTTCCCTCTTTCCAAGTTATAAAAATATAGTTATTTTAAAAATGTTAAATTAAATTAAATTATATATAATACATGTACAAAACTGAAATTAAGTTGGATTTGACTAGGCTTTAGGCTAACAAATGGTTTACATATCATTTAGTAGATGAAGGCTTGGGGACAGAACTCAATGGATCAATAGTAAGGCCTTGCCTCAACTCTCATGCTTGAATTGATTCGTGCGTTTTGCATGTACACAAAAACCTGGAAGCCGGCCTGGAAATTTTGTGGGGATGGCCGGGCCAAGAATGATTACCCCTCGTTGGGACCGTATTTATGAATATGATGAGTCTGGCCTTGGTCATGGCAAAGCCCGTTCCAACAACCTTTATAGTCTATGTTGGGAATATCTCCGTATTTATGTGATTTATTTCATGGAAGATATTCCTAATGCAAGGTTGCAAGGGGTTGCTTGAACAGTGCGAGCCCTGATTTGCCATGATAGAAGCCGAACTTGAATATGATCCCTCGTGTGAGCATTGAGTACCTTATTCATGCAAAATTCTCAYGTTGTCTTCTTTCCCTCTTTGATAGAGTTTAATGAAAAGATGCTGCTGCCTCATTTAGTTGTCTACCGCCTGTGAATGGAGACCTGATCTGCTCCTCACACAGGGCGCCTCATACCAACCTCACACGCACATCCTACCATGCATTGGGAACATCTTCTGTATACTATACGTTATTATTCAGTGAAGATATTCCCAATACATGGTGAGATGTGCATGTGAGGTCAGAGTGAGGCGCTCTGAGTGAGGAGCAGATCCCAATCCCTGTGGATGTTCCTTACACAGTTTTTGTACTATCTCAAGATGAGAGCAAAACACTTATCGACTTGAACACACCCATCTAATCACACCCTCTCCAATCAAACCATGCAGTGTGATTTACATTCAGTTTTTAATCCCTGTAGCAGTTCCCTGAGTTAACTCATTAAACTATAAAAGCACTCCACTTCTCCACACGACCTGAATAATCTAAACTGCTAAGATTTTGTTTACGCATTAAATTATAGGATTATGAAGGGGTGGCGACCGACCAGGTTGAGTGGGCCAAAGGCCCAAGCCCAACCCTAACACATTGTAAAAACACCAAACCCAAGCTTTTGCCTTTCAGACTACAGATAGGAAAAAAAAAAGAAAAGAAAACATTGAATTATACATTTTTAAAGACATCTAACTTTTGGCAAAAAATGAGAGTATATGAAAATACATAATACCTTATTATTAATTATCCTAGTAATACAAATTATATATATATATATATATATATATAAATTTAATGGGCAAACATTTCAGCTGAAAATGAGTAAAACTAAAAGGTTGTACGCATAACAGAATAACTTGAACTTTTTTCTAATCTTTGTGTATGTGTGTAGGACTCATTGTATCACATAAAATATTCCTGCGAGGAAGGGCAACGAGCAAGGAGTCTAATGAAAATTTTGGTCCATGTTGTCTGAGGCCCAACTTGGGAGTTTTACAAACACTGGAGTAGAGATAGATAGCTTAGTTTCAGGACCTGCTAACTGAATGGGCAAGTTTGTTTCATGGAAAACAGAAGCTCTATAGATTCTGTACCCATGGGCATGATTAGCAGAATTGTATAAACGCATCAAACTGAAGTTGGATTGTCCAATAACCCATGAGATTGGAAAGCATCGTCATTCACTCCACCAGGACCAAATAATCCCTTCTTTCTGCTGGATCTTTAATTTTTGTTCTTCCCCATTTTTTAATCAAAATGTCAATCAGATGTTATTGTGTGTGGACAGTGAGCTTAGATTTCTTCAACCGTGTGGAGAGAGAGAGAGATTTATGAGACAACTGGCAACTTAAGGTGGTGTTTGGTAACGTGTTCATCTCGTGGATGGACCATTTTGGTCCACGCCACGGGATGGACTTGGTCCACAGTATTTCCACACTCTATTTTGATGCAATACATTTCTTCTACATACTTTTTTTTTAATTTTTATATTTTAAAATAATAATTTTTAATATTGTATCAATAAAATAATATTTTTTAATTTTAATTCTAGCACAAGTTTGGCGATGCTCCTTCTTCACTCCTTTTTATTTATTTAAATATTTTTATCAATAAAATAATATTTTTAATATTTAAAATAATTTTTTATTTTTTAATTATTTTATTATCGTTTTTATTAAAATTAATATTTATTGGTTATATTAATTTATGGATGCCTTTTCAATATATTTATCATATAAAATGCAAAAATTAGACATTTATGATCGACTATATAGGCCATTCATAAAATGTATATGAGATACATTGAATAAAAAAGTGGTGTGGACTGGTCCAGTCCACATAATCTATTCATGGCTCAGAACAACAGTGGATTGTTGTGTGGTGTGTTGCAGTCCACAACCACCAATTTCTCATCCACAATATAGAACACCCCCACCCCTCTCTATCTCAATAATTGGCCTCCCTATGGGCCCATCCATACTCCATTTATGTTTTGGCTCCCTTTATAACAATTTCCTAACTCCGCCCCTGCAAAAATGGTGGGTCCCACTTTTATGGTGGGTTCTAGTCTCATGATGAGATGTGCGGTGTTAGATGAGGTTGATAGAGGGTTGGAACATGTTTTGTTGGTAGAAGATCTCAACTCTAGGCTACTTAGGGATCTCAATACAAATTCAATTGGTTGAATTCGGTATGGATTTGCCTTTAGGCTGTGTTTGGTTGCAAGTTTTGATTTTTTTTTTGTTTCAAATTTTACCTTACTTTGTTTGGTTGCAATAAAAATTAAATAAAATAAGACCCAAAGTAGAATAAAGTAAAATCCAAAACAAAAATAAATCAAATTTGCATTTGTTTTCATTTGCACTCCCATACATTTGTACTAGTGCAAATAAATTTGCACTACAGCCAAACACAACCTTATGTTCAAATGATTCAATCTAGGGATGTTAATGGGTCGGGTTAAATAGAAAACCTGGTTTGACCTGATCCTATAGGGTTGGATGCTACAGGTTAGGTCAGGTCAGTATCAGGTTAGACCCAATAGGGTTGGGTCAGGTTCGAAAATTATGTATTTTTAAGGCGGATTGGGTTAGGTTAGGATTGTGACAACCCGTGCCAAACCCGACCCATTGATATCCCTAATTCAATGCAAATCTGATCGGACCTGACTGATAACATGTACTTTTTTGAACCTGCCCTGACCCTGTAGGCTATAGGGTTCAACCAATACCAATCAATTTAATTTGAACCCGCAGTCTTTTAATTATATTTTTTTATAACACATTTTCAAAAGCCAAGAAACTGTGAGCTGGAATTCGATTTATGGGTTAGAAGGTTTTATTTCCTCCATGGTGAAAAATCCAAAACAAAGAAAGAAATAGATTCCACTCTAAGACTATGGGGGTTAAATATAATACCTTCCACATATATGTAGAATATTATGACCTCGCAGGCCGGGATAAGCAAACCCAAACCCAACTTGGGTTGAAACATCAAAACATTAACCCAACCATACACCCAAATAAAGTTGATCTTAATTAATCTGATCTTAGGCTCAGTTTTGAAAGAGTACAAATACCAATATGTAGAGTGCAAAATTATGTATTTTGTATTAATTTTTATGTATTTATACTGAACAGTATTTGTATTCCTTCCAGACTGAGCCTTAAGGCCAAACAAGGTTAACAGTTTAACCGTATAAGAAAAATATTATATCAATCACAAAACAACACTAGTAGGGGAGGAGACCAGGCTCCCTAAACCCCAAAGTCCTCTTCCATGTGATTAGCTCTCCGGATCTTCATAAAATAAAAACATAAATATAGTTTCTTTGTGATAGGTCTATTAATCTTTAGTAGCAAGGTGCCCGTCTAGCTCAGTCGGTAGAGCGCAAGGCTCTTAACCTTGTGGTCGTGGGTTCGAACCCCACGGTGGGCGTTTTATTATTTGAATTCATTTATTAAAATTCAATCATCCACATGCAAGACTTATCGAATTTTGGTGAGAGGCAGAGAAGGCTGCTAAGCACCGTGCCACTTTCCTAAAACAAAGAAATAAAATAATTCCATTCGTTTTTTCTGTTAATTGAATAAATCATTTATTCAAAGTTGGCAAGTTGCGTTTCTTTCTAGTGGTGCCAAAGCAAATAATTTATTCTATAATAAAGATTGTCTTGATATTATACTTGTAATATTCTCAACTGAACAGATTCACCATATCTTAAAGAATTTTCTTCTTGTTTATTTTCTTTAATGAGAATTAGTTCCCATGACCCACTATATTTATTGTGAATATGTTATGAAAGTTTTCTATAAACATGTATGAAGGTTCAAAGTATCGATACGTACTATTGGCTGATACATATCATTCTGGGACCCTTCTGATACGTCCTGTGG